GGCCCTCAAGAGGCCCCCCAAAGGCGCCCAAAAGCGCCCCCGACGGCTTCAAAATTACCTCCCACACGCCCCCAGGAGGCCTCCAGGAGGCCGCCTGCATGCCCCCCGAGAAGCCCAAAAGGCCCCCAAGAGGCTCAACCGTCACCCCCAAGACGCCCCCCCAGGAGGCCTCGAAGATGCGTCGTAGAGGCCCCTCAAGAAGCCCACGCAATGCCTCCAAGCTGTTTCCAAACCACTTACGTTTGAACAAGCGCGCTGGGGCGAAAGCGTCCTTCTGACAGCGGGATCGTCCCGGATCGGCGGCACCCGCCGGGGGCCTCTACAATATCAGCTCCACAGCCGTTGCGTGATTGGCTCCACCCTCACACTGGCCGTCAAACTTCAACATCCATGCATGATCCTGATGGAATAGCTGGTGGATAGGTGGGGTGATCCTTGGCTCTCTTGGCGGTCATCCCCAACAGCAGGACGATGCCTGCGACCTTGGCCTGCTGGGCGACCTCCGACCTTATGTTTTAGTCTGAGATAGACATCGGGGTTCAGTTGCACAATCTTCATACGAGTGGCCACGCATCGCAGCGTCGACGGAAGATTAAGAAACGCAAGGGCGTGCGCACAGGCACTCATGCCCCCACGACCTCGGGCAAGGGCGTGATGATGATGATGATGATGATGATGATGATGATGATGATGACGATGGTGATGATGGTGTTGATGCTGATGGTGAAAATGACGATGCTGATGGTGATGGTGATGGTGATTTGTATGACGGATATGATGGTGATTATGATGATGATACTAATGATGATGACGATGGTGGTGGTGATGATGATGATGATGCTGATGCTGATGCTGATGCTGATGATGATGATGATGATGATGATGATGATGATGATGATGATGATGATGATGGTGGTTATGATGATGATGAGGCGGAGGAGGATGAAGAGAAGGCGAAGGAGGAGGAGGAGGAGGAGGAGGAGGAGCGGGCTAAGGGGAGGAAGTAGGCGCGCCACAATTAAGGTGAGGAGGGCAGGCGCACCATAATGAAGGTGAGGAGGATGAGAAGATCGGATGTCGGTGGGATAGGGGAGGAGGAGGAGGAGGAGGAGGAGGAGGAGGAGGAGGCGACGGCGAAGCAGGAGGAGGAGCGCCAGAAGGAGAAGCAGAACGAGGAAGAGGAGGAGAAGGTGGGAGCAGTAGGAGACGGAGACGCAGGGAGGCGGAGGGTGCGGAGGAACAGGAGTAGAAGAAGCAGGATCAGAAGAAACAGAACACAAGGACGGCGAGGATGGAGCGTGAGCAGGAGGCGGAAAAGCGGGCGGGGGGAAGAGGAGCGGCAGCACGAAGACAGGAGGAGGAGGAGCAGGAGGAGGAGCAGGAGGAGCAAGGAGCGAGGAGCAGGAGGAGGACGAGCAGGAGGGCGGATGAGGAGGGGGGCGGGGAAGAGGAGGGGAGGGACGAGGACGGAGGATGGCCCGGAGGCGGAAGCTCACGATACAGGAGCAGCGGGCGAGCGTCGCCGACGAGGCCACGCCGCGAGAGCTGGCGGCCACGCAGGGGCGCGCCCGCCGGCGAGAGGCCCGGAACGGGGGGGGGGGGGCGCCTCGGAGCCGCGCGGGGCGGCGGCGGCCGCCACGCCTGTCGCGTCGGGCGCTCTGCTCGCGCAGGGTGGCGCCAACGCGAAGCTGCGGTCGGGAACTCTGCCCTCGGCGCGGCGCGGCGGCGGCCCCCTGCGAGGCGCCACGCCCTGGCAGGCGCCATGGCTCTCGCTCCGCCTCGCGGGGCAGGGGGCCGGGAAGGGCTCGGGAAGCCCGCGCCCTGGGGGCCGGGGCGAGGGCGCCGCGTCGCGCCGAGGCGCGGGGGGCCGGAGCCGGCGGCGCGGCACGCCGAGGAAAGGCTCCTGACCGCAGCGAAAGGGCGGCGAGCGAGGCCCCATTCGGGCCCGCAGAAACTCACAGGATTACAGGATTACACCCTGCGAAATGCTTTAGAAATCATGGGTTAAGAAATTGAGAGTCTCAGAATTCTAGTAAAAACCCAGAATGTCCATTCAAATCTTAGGATTTACATTGAAACATTAAGAATAATCGAGACTCTGGCCGAAAATTTAGGTTTTCTTCAGCATCGCCTGAGGTGTACAGTCATAGCGACGCCAGCCAGTTTCCCGCCAGCGCCCTGCGATCGGGGGCCCACGGCACGGCCACCGAGGCCAGCCTCTCAGGACCCTCAACAACTGGAAGGGCACCTTCGAGACATGATGTTGGCCCTCCAGGATGAGATCTAGGGCAGCTCTGGCCCCCTTGGCCATCTTCAGAGGCTGCCTGCCCACAGAAACTCACAGGCTCACGAAGAGCGCGAGAGGAACTGCCGTGGAAGTAGTCCGCACGAAGGCCGGCTCGCTGGCGCAGCCGCCTGGCAAACGCTGGTGATGACGCACCCTCTAGCAGCACACGCGGCGGAAGGCCTCGCCGCATGCACCTGTCTCCGAAGACGCGCCCTTCCTTGTCCGGGCTGGCTTGCATGCCGGGGCGCGTCGTCCAACCCGCCCGTTACGGTCTAGATGATGGGCCACCTGCGCGACGGTGGGTGAGCAGCTGTGTGGCGCCGCGCAGCCTGCCAGCGATCCTGCAGACCCTCTGGGATGCCCGTGGCGCCAATCGCGTCCTGCGGTGTGCTGTCGTTAGTCTTTCTCCGCCCAATGCAGGATGTCTGCCAGTGGCGGAACTGACTCAGCATGGCGAGCGGGCTCGGTGAACCCATTGGCCTGGCGTTGCCGTTGCCTCGAATGGAATTCGGTCGCGTGCTCATGCTGCGCTTCGGTGGAGCCAACGGGACTGCAGATAAGCCTGACCACCAGCCCCCTCCTGCCGAACGCGTTCGAATCCCAGACTCCCACGCGTGCAGTCACATGTCGTGCGCCATCACGCGTCGGTGCTCGCCAGAGCCGGTCCCCAGCGCGACCATGAGAAAGACGAGGTAGCAACACCACGAAGTCCGCCATCTCATCTGGCCCTCCACATTGTCAACCGTCCCATCCTGCAAAAAAATGCGTGCAAGTCATCAAGCTGCCCGTGCTGCCGCACGCTGGCGTAACAACTCTTGGCCACGCACGGCCGTCGGACAGGGTGCCTTTGGACATTCAGGTCGGGGCTGGTCACCGCCAAGCTGGGGGTACCATGCCATCACTTGCGGATCGTATGGGGAATCCTGTCCGCGTAGAGGATACTCTGAAGCTCTGACAGATACGCCTGCTGCGGGAGCTTATTCTGACGGTTGTGGCCTGGCTGAGCCTCGTCCACACGCAGAAGTGCCATTATGCCCTTGCGCGCCGCCTGACGACGAGCCGAGATGAACAAGTGTACTGAAGATCGAGCACTTGCATGTGACGATGCAGTATCCGATGCTTCTGACGCCTTCTCGAATGCTTGGGCAAACGAAGTGGGGATCCAACCAACAAGATGCGCACCTGAATCCAGCTTCAAAACTGTACGACTGACAGCTTGATCTGCGACAGCGTGAAAGAAACCAACATCTCCAAGCCATCACGGAACTCAGCACTGTGACATGTGTTGAATCGCTGCGATATCCACTTTCGCACAAATCGAAGGTGCTGTTCTGAGAAGCTTTTGCAGTGCGTGGATGTCCTTGGCCATGAGGAGCGTGGCCAGAGGAGGACGGGGAGGCGAGAGAACGGGTGAGCATGATGGGGGAATAGGGAGGATGGAGGGAAGACGAGACAGAACACCAGGAGGGAGCACGAAGGAGCATGAGGCCGGAGAGGAGGGATGAGGGGAGGGAGGAGAGGGAGGAGGGGAGGAGAGGCAGGAGGGAGCGTGAGGGACGAACGGGAGGAGAAGGGGGGGGGCACGAGGGAGCATGAGGGAGGAGGGGAAGGAGGAGGGGAGGGAGGAGGGGAAGGAGGGGGAGGAGAGGGGAGGAGAGAGGAGGGAGCATGAGGGAGGAAAAGGGGACAAGAGGGAGCACGAAGAGGAGGGAGGAGGGAGCACGCCGAGGAGAGCTGGCCTGGCCCTGGACCGCGGCCCGTGCTCGATCGACGTCTGGCCGCCGCTTCCCCCCCCCGGGAGGAGGGAGGGAGAGGGAGGGAGGGAGAGGGAGGGAGGAGGGGAGGAGGAGGAGGAGGAGGAGGAGGAGGAGGAGGAGGAGGAGGAGGAGGAGGAGGAGGAGGAGGAGGAGGAGGAGGAGGAGGAGGAGGAGGAGAGGAGGAGGAGGAGGAGGAGGAGGAGGAGGAGGAGGAGGAGGGAGGGAGGGAGGGAGGGAGGGAGGGAGGGAGGAGGAGGAGGAGGAGGAATAGGAAGAGGAGCAGCAGGAGGAGCAGGAGGAGGAGGAAGACCAGGACGAGGAACAGGAACAGGAGGACTTGTGTTTTTTGTCTGCCCCTGGCAGGGGCCGAACCGATCGCCACGGCAGGCCACGCGCCTGCAGAGGAGAGGCAGCCCGTGATGCCTCCCCGTCGGCCTGCACTCCGGGCCGCCGCACCCGGGCTCGCCCCCGCCGCGCGGCCTCGCGCGCGCCGCGGCTGCAGGGCGGCCTCTGCGCGCGCCCCCGCGCTCGGGAGGCAGCCCGTCCGGCAGCGGGCACGAGGAGCTCGCACGGGTCGCGTCGGCGCCCTCCCGCCATCGCCGTCCCCGCGAAGGCTCGGAACTGCTTCGGGAGCTCGCCGAGCGCCTGCTCCTTCGCCGTGCCCCCACTCCTCGCGCGTGTCGAGGGCGATGACCCGGCCACCGTCCTCGGGAGCATCGCTGCCGATGACCTCCAGCTCCTTCTGCTCGCCCTCGGCGCAGGTGTTGGGTTCCGCGATGCTCTTCCGCTACGAAAATCGTAGCGGTCAGGCACCTGCACAGCCTTCCCGAGGAATAGGAGGAGGGGGAGGAGGAGGACGAGGAGGAATAGGAGAAAGAGGAGGAGGAGGAGGAGGAGGAGGAGGAGGAGGAGGAGGAGGAGGGGGAGGGGGAGGGGGAGGAGGAGGAGGGGGGGGCAGACGGAACAGCAGGAAGAGGAGGCCGAGCATGCGGAGGCGCCCTCATAGCGGCGACAGCGCGCGCGGCGGGGTGGCGACCCCTGCGCGGGCGAGCATGCGAACGGGGCCCGGCCCCGCGGAGCAGCCGGCGCGGGCCTGGTCGGAGCGCGCCGCCGCCGCCGTGGGCGTCGCCGTGGGCGTTGCCGACGCCGTCGTCGCCGCCGTGGACATCGTCGACGCCGTGGACGCCGTCGTGGACGTCGCCGCGGACGTCGTCGTCGCCATCGCCGTCGTTGCCATCGCCGTCGTCGTCCCAGAAAAAGCAGGGAGGCGCGGAGGGGGCACACTCAAGCTCAAAGACACAATCCAAGGCTAAGTTGCTCCTCCTGCTTTGTACTGGCCATCGCTCGGACGTCCATTTCCTGTGTTTTTTTTCGGTTTCGTGCGTGGTTGTTTCGCCAAATGGTCGAGGATGCTCCTCGATGGTCCTCGCCGAAGGAACAATGCACACGTCCGAGCGATGCCAAGTGTAGCGTCCGGCAGACTCGTGTCTCACGGTGGTGAAGGCGCCGCCAGCTTCCGCAGTGAGCATGCCCAGCCATCCAGCCTGGGGCCTTGGCAGAAGTGCAGCGGCGCGATCTCAAGGACTTCGCGCGGTCTTGGCGTTGGGCAGATTATCCTAGTGCGACCCTACCTAGGAGTTGGAGGATCTAAGAAAGCAACATCTATATGCAGCTAAATTAAGCTAAGATGAAGCTAAGCTAAGATGAAAAAGCTAAGCTAAGATGAGATAAGCAACGCTAAGCTAAGGGGACGTAACTGGGGGAACCGCGGGGCGGATACTGGGGGAACCGCCCGGGGCGAGTTGCACTGCCCGGCCCTTTAAGCATACCGAGTAAGAACCCTTCTAGGCAGAGCCTAGGTAGGGAATAAAGTGGTTGAGCCGACGTGGCAACGGGCCAGAGGCGTGCTAAGATCTCCGGTAACTTGTTAACAATATTTAATCGCTTCGCTCATGCCGCCGGCCCTGGAGCCCTCTTTAGGGCCTCTTGGGGGCCTCTTGGGGACCTCTTGGGAGTCTCTTGGGGCTCCTAGGCGGCGTTTTGGAGGCCCCCAGGGCCTCTTGGGGGGCTCTTGGGGGTAGTCGATTGCGGCTCCCCCCTCGGAGGCCACGATCCTCGTGAGGGGTGTCGAAAAATACCCTCCCCTGGAGTGGTCTGGTGGCTTCTCCCGGGCTTCTCTCGGGACCTTGCCGGGGTACTTTTCGTCCGGGGGCCCCCAGGGGCCGCTCCGCGCGCGCGAACTAGAAATATTGTTAACAAGTTACCGGAGATCTTAGCACGCCTCTGGCCCGTTGGGCCGGCGAATTTCTAGTTCGCGCGCGCGGAGCGGCCCCTGGGGGCCCCCGGACGAAAAGTACCCCGGCAAGGTCCCGAGAGAAGCCCGGGAGAAGCCACCAGACCACTCCAGGGGAGGGTATTTTTCGACACCCCTCACGAGGATCGTGGCCTCCGAGGGGGGAGCCGCAATCGACTACCCCCAAGAGCCCCCCAAGAGGCCCTGGGGGCCTCCAAAACGCCGCCAAGGAGCCCCAAGAGACTCCCCCTAAAGAGGGCTCCAGGGCCGGCGGCATGAGCGAAGCGATTAATAAAGTGGTTGAGCCGACGTGGGCGCTTCGGTCAACGAGAGAAGGGATCCTAGGTGAGTGCAGATGGAAATTGAAAAGGCAAAGTAACGAAAGACACAGAAAGATGCTAATATGTGAATCGATTGCTCCTTCGCCTCCTGTTCCACCTTGTCCTCCTCCTCCTCCTCCTCCTCCTCCTCCTCCTCCTCCTCCTCCTCCTCTCCTCCTCCTCCCTCCCCCTCCTTCTACTCCTCCCTCTCCTGCTCCTCCTCCTCCTCCTCTCCTCCTCCTCCTCCTCCTCCTCCTCCTCCTCTCTCCTGCTCGTCCTCCCCCTCTTCCTCCTCCCTCCTCCTTCTCCTCCTTCTCGCCATCGTCATCAGCATCATCATCATCACGATACCCATCACCATCATCATCATCATCATCATCATCATCATCATCATCATCATCATCATCATCATCATCATCATCATCATCATCATCATCATCATCATCATCATCATCATCATCATCATCATCATCATCATCATCATCATCATCATCATCCGCAGCAGCAGCAGCAGCAGCATCATCAGCACTGTCAGCATCATCATCCTCATCAGCAGCAGCATCAGCATCAGCATCATCGTCAGCAGCAGCAGCATCAGCATCAACATCATCCTCCTCATCCTCCTCCGCCCCCTCATCATCATCAGCAGCGGCAGCATCATCGTCATGATCATCAACATCATCACTGGTACTATCGTCATCATCCGTCTAGTCCTCTTCATCATCCTCCTCATCCTCCCCGTCCTCCTCCTCATCCTCCTATTCCTCCACCCAATTGCACTCCTCATTCACCTCCTCCTCATCCTTCTCATCCTCATCCTCATCCTCCTCCTCCTCCACCTCCTCATCATCATCAGCATCATCCTCATAATTATCATAATAATCGTAGTCGTCATCGTCGTCATCGTCGTCATCATCATCACCATCACCATCATCACCGCCGTCATCATCATCATCATCATCATCATCATCATCATCATCGTCATCATCATCATCATCATCAGCATCATCAGCAGCAGCAGCGGCAGCACCACCATCATCATCAGCATCAGCATCAGGATCATCATTATCACCATCACCAGCACCATCATCATCATCATCATCATCATCATCATCATCAGCAGCAGCAGCAGCAGCAGCAGCATCATCAGCATCAGAATGACGGACGGGCGTTATGGTCGGGGGTAGGGGGGAACGGGAGGGGGCAAAACGTAGCGCCCCCACCCCCCCAGACTCTGGTGCCGGACGCATTGCTGCAGTGCCTGGAACGCACTGAGGGCGGGAGCGTTACGTTATGGGTGGGAGGGGGGGAGGGTAGGGGGCATAACGCGCGTCATGGCCCAGAGGGTCAACAACAACAAAAAAAACACTCCAGGAGCCAGCAGCCCAAGACAGCCCCAGGACGGCCAGAGTGGGCCCCACTCCAGAAGTGAGGACGAGAGGAGCCGCGCACGACGGCCGTTCTGGCGGTGCTCGCAGCGGCGCCACACAGAGTGGTTGGGCAGCACGGCGGCGGACTTGCCGCAGCCAGCTGGCCGAGCACGGTCCGAGTCTGCTCGGCTCACGCTGCGCGCGCGACCTAGTTTCCTGCTGTCCCACCTCGCCGTGCCCCTCACCGGTCCGCCCTCCCCCACTCGCACCCTCACCTTTCCCCTCTGGCTGTTCGGTGTCCGTGGGCCTCCAGGTGCCAGGGCCTCCATGAAGCTCGGCGCGTCACACTTCAGCAAAACTATCAGGAGGTCTCTACCTGAGAGGCGTGGCGCTGCCGCGCTGCCCCAGCGCACGAAGTGTGACAGTAGGCCCGCTCCAGATGCGTGCCTCTCCGGCAGGACGTCTTCGCTGCGCTGCAAGTTCGCAACTGGAACACGTATGCCCTGACTTCGCTGCTGGAATGCGATGTGTCAGGTGTGGCCAGACCGCCTCATGTAAAGTAAAATCATGTGACGTCACTCCATGCAGTAGCCAGTTGTGACAAGATGCTGGCAGCATCCGCATGAGCTCCAGTAATACATTGCAGGTGCAGTCATGGTGTTGTATGGCAAGCCCGCTAAGATGCTTTCGGGATTGGAAGTGATCGCCCTCCTGAATGCACCCAAATCTTGTCCATACGGCGCACATTAGTTTGGGGAAGCAAGCAGAAAGCTGAGGGACGAAGCGCGGACATACCAAATCACATGCCCCGAATGCGCCCAAGCCTCTCTGGTCTTGTACACACAGACTCTACTATTTGAAACATTGGGAATTCTCTTCTTGCGTACCATTATCCGTACTGAAAACACACACACACTTCCCCCTGATCATGTCGAGAAAGTATCACACTAGTGTGTGTGTGTGTGTCGTCATGATCTCGCCACGCGTTGTTAATAAGACGTCAGCGAGAGAGAGACGATGAAGGCGAAGAACAGTTTCGAAATATTATAAGCAAGCTGTGACTGATGCAATCACAACTACACAACCAGAAGCCGTCAGGCGTTGGCACAGATGCTTGATGCCCAGGCCAACAACAACAACAACAACAATGACCGCAACGACCATGTTGTCATGATTCGAATTCCAATGGTAATATGGTGTCCCGTTCCTCTACCGTCGTATTCGTCCTCCTCCGTCGCCATCCCTTCTGCGATCATCCATCTTCACCATGCTCCTCCTCCTCCGTCCTCCCCCTCCTCCTCCTCCGCCTCCCTCCTCATCATCAGCATCATCGTCATCGTCATCGCCATCATCATCAGCATCATCATCATCGGCAGCAGCAGTAACAGCAACAACAGCAACATCAGCATCAACAACATCACCATCACCATCACCATCATCAACATCATCAATATCATTATCCTCTTCCTCATCCTCATCATCATCATCAGCAGCATCATCATCAAACTCCAAAAAAATCCCGGCAAAGCAACCTAACAGCGATGTGCAGAAGCATAGCTGGAAACATTGCCTGTGGTATTCATGTAAGAGTGCTGTTGTAGAATTCTGGTGTTCTCGCAGTCGCATTCGGATTCGCAGTGGCAGTGGCAGTGGCAACATCAGCGGCAGTCGCAGTGGCACTGCCAGTAGTTGCAGTAGCAATAGCTACACTAGCAGCAGCAACAGCAGCAGCAGCAGTAATAGCAACAGTAGTGGAAGAGCACGAAGTGGCCTACAGTTGGCTCCGGGCATTCAAAATGTGGCTCGGGAATGGAGTTTTGGGAAAGCTAAAAGCACGAAGTGGCCTACAGTTGGCTCTGGGCATTCAGAATGTGGCCCGGGAATGGAGTTCTGGGAAGTCGAAGAGCACGAAATGGCCTACAGTTGGCTCCGGGCATTCAGAATGTGGCCCGGGAATAAAATTCTGGGAGGTCGAACAGCACGAAGTGGCTTACAGTTGGCTCCGGGCATTCAAAATGTGGCTCGGGAATGGAGTTCTGGGAAGTCGAAGAGCACGAAGTGGCCTACAGTTGGCTCCGGGCATTCAGAATGTGGCCCGGGAGTGGAGTTCTGGGAGGTCGAAGAGCACGGAGTGTGTGACTGTTTGTGAAAAACGAATTCGGACACGAGTTCGGACACAGCTCCCCGGATGCCGCCCAGACCCCCCTGTTGAGTCATCTGCTGCTCTCTTTTGACACCACTAGAAACCTATCAGTCTTCGCTGTTAAATAAAAACCTCCATCATCTTCCCCCACCGTACTTCACAACCATCTTCCGTCATGGCCAGTTGCCATCCCTCTGCACCGTGGTGGCCCAGCGCAGCGCCCTGCAGCTGTTCACCATGGCCTTAGCTGTCTCAGTTTCGAATCACCCTCGGGCCTGCACCGCGGGATGGACGAAGCGAGGAAGAGGGAGATGGAGGGGGAGGAGGGAAGAGGAAGCGGAGGAGGGGAAAGGAGGGGGGAGGGGTGGAGGGGGGGGGGGGGGCGCTCGACCAACCAGGCCGCGCTGGAGTGGCAGGGAAGGGGGGGGAGGGGAAGACAGACGACCGACCTCCTCGTCGCCGCCCTCCGCGCCGCGGGCGCCGTGCCGCGGCAGCGCCCGCCGCACGGCGGGCGCGGAAAGGGGGAAGGCCGGGGGGAGGGCCACGAGCACCTCACGCTCGGCCCCGTGCTCCTGCGGCACCCCTCCAGGAGGCTCGACCCCTGCACGGCCCCCGGGCCCGACCGGGGGGGCGAAGACGCCCGTCGCGACTGTTCGCGAAGCGTTCCTCCTCCCTCCCCCTTCAGCCTGCTCCTCCGTGGCCTCCTTCTTCTCCCTCCTCCTCGTCCTCATCCTCTTTGTGTTTCTCTTCTTATTATTCTTACAACCATTAGTATGATCATTGCTGCTGTTCCCCGGATTTCTAACATGATCGATATTGCTCTAAAGATTACAACCGTTATGAGTATTTTCATTCGTTGTGATAGTATTCCTAGTAGTATTAACATTACTAATGGTAGTATCAGCGTGAGGATTCTTAAAAGTATGATTGGTACTGATATGATTACTCGAAGTTCTAGTCTTATTAGTTGTAACATTATAGTGTTAGTGGTCCTACTATTCTCAGTCTGAATGTGATTCCCATCCTGTGGAGTTGGGTCCTTGTTTTGAAGAGAGCGCCCCGCGTCCTCACTCCCGCTGCACTCTTCCCCCCTCCCATCCTCCCCCTCCTCTTCTCCCCCCCCCCCAATTTGGCACGCCCCTCACACGTTTCGTGGCCCCATAGGGAGCCCCACCGAAGGCCCACATGCCAGCGCTCGCATGCGCCCACCGCGCCCATTTTGGCACAACCCTCACACGTTTGTGGCCCCATAGGGAGCACCACCGAAGGCCCAAGTGCCAGCGCTCGCATGCGCCCACCGCGCCCATGTTGGAACACCCCTCACACGTTGTGTGGCCCCATACCGAGCTCCACCGAAGGCCCAGATGCCAGCGCTGGCATGCGCCCACCGCGCCCATTTTGGCACAACCCTCACACGTTTGTGGCCCCATAGGAAGCTCCACCAAAGGCCCAAGTGCCAGCGCTCGCATGCGCCCACCGCGCCATGTTGGAACACCCTCACACGTTCTGTGGCTCCATACCGAGCTCCACCGAAGGCCCAGATGCCAGCGCTCGCATTCGCCCACCGCACCCAATTTGGGACACCCCTCACACGCTTCGTGGCCCCATAGGGAGCCCCACCGAAGGCCCACATGCCAGCGCTCGCATGCGCCCACCGCGCCCATTTTGACGCACCCCGCACACGTTTTGTGCCCCTATAGGTTACCCCACCGAAGGCCCAGATGCCAGCGCTTGCATGCGCCCACCGCACCCATCTTGGCACACCCCTCACACGTTGTGTGGCACCACAAGCAGCCCCGCCACAGGCCCAGATGCCAGCGCTTGCATGCGCCCACCGCACCCATTCTGACACACCCTTCACACGTTTTGTGGCCCCACAGGGAGCTTCACCACAGGCCCAGATGCCAGCGCTTCCATGCGCCAGCCGCACCAATCTTGGCACGCCCATCATACGCTTTGCGGCCGCATAGGGAGCTCCACCAAAGGCCCAGGTGCCAGCGCTCGCCCTACCGCGCCGGTGTTGAGACACCCCTGAATCGCTTCTTGGCCCCATGGAGAGCCCCGCCGCAGACGCCAGCGCTCGTATGCGCCCACCGCGCCCGTTTTGGCACACCCTTCACACGTTTTGTGGCCCCATAGCAGCTCCACCGAAGGCAAACATGCCAGCGCTCGCATGCGCCAACCACGCCCATCTTGGGACACCCCTCACACGGTTCGTCGCCCCATAGGGAACTCCACCGAAGGCCCAAATGCCAGCGCCCACATTCGCCCACCGCACCCATGTTGGCACACCCTTCACACGCTCCGTGGCCCCATAGGAAGCTCAACCGAATGCGGCGCGTACAACGGCAGCACCCACAACTACATATGGTTGGGTCTTTAGCAACGCGAATTAAGTATTAACATTAGTAGTATCATTCTTCATAGTATTACTCGTAGTATTGTTCTTCCGCATCCGCATCGTCCTCACCAGCATCATCATCAGCATCATAATCATCAGCAGCATCCTCACCATCAGCAGCATCATCAGCATCATCGTCATCAGTATCGTCATCACCAGCACTCCTCATCATCATCAGCAACCTCGTCATCCTCATCGTCATCAACATCATCATCGTCATCGTCTTCGTCATCATCAGCGGCAGCCTCATCACCATCATCAGCATCAGCATCAGCATCAGCCTCATCAACAGCAGCGCCAACATCATCATCATCATCATCATCATCATCATCAACATCATCATCATCGCTACCATTAACGTCAGCAGCATCAGCGTTGTCATCGTCATCGTCATCGTCATCAGCATCAATATCAACATCAGCATCAGCATCATCATCGTCATCATCAGAATCGTCGTCGTCATCATCAACATCATCAGCAGCATCAGCATAATCAGCATCAGCATCAGCATCACCATCACTATCATCATCAGCATCAGCATCATCATCACAAACAACATCATCAACAACAGCATCATCATCATCAGCAGCAGCATCATCGTCATCGTCATGGTCATCAGCATCGTCATCATCATCTGTCCTGCGCGTTCTCATCCTCTTCGTCCTCGTCCTCGTCCTCCTCCTCCTCCTCAGTTTCCTCCTCCTCCTCCTCCTCAGTTTCCTCATCCTCCTCCTCATGTTCCTCCTCCTCCTCCTCCCTGCTCCTTCCTATCATTCACTGTCTTTCCATCCTTCCAGTCGTCGTCGTCCGCCTCCTCCGCCTCCTTCTCCGCCTCTTCCTACTCCTGCCCCTTTTCCTCTTTGTGTTCATCATCCTCCTCGTCCTCCTCCTTTTTTGGCGTTGGTCGGACCTGAAGCGAGAGCTTGTGGCGCCCATCCTCCTCCTCCTCCTCCATCTCCACCTCCTCCTCCTCCTCCTCATCATCATCATCATCATCGTCATCATCTTCATCATATTCATCATCATCATCATCATCATCATCACCACCATCATCATCATCATCATCATCATCATCATCATCAGCAGCATCATCATCATCATCATCATCATCATCATCATCATCAGCAGCATCATCATCATCATCATCATCATCATCATCATCAACATCATCATAATCATCAGAATCATCACCATCATCGTCATCATCGTCAACATCAGCATCATGATCATGATCTTCCGCATCAACATCATCATCATCATCATCATCAGCATCATCATCATCATCATCATCATCATCATCATCATCGTCCTCTGAATCTTCCGCTTCAACCACCTCCGCCTCCTCCTCCGTCTCCTCCTCATCTTCCTCCTCCTCATCTTTGTCGTTTGCCGGGCCTGAAAAGCAAGCTTGGCCTCCTCTTCCTTCTCCCCCTCCTCCTCCTCCTCATTCTCCTCGTTCCTCGTCCTGCCCCGCCCACCTGCCTGCATCGGCCGACTGAAGCTTCACTTCGGGCGGGAATCCGACTAGGAGAGCAACCACAATTAACTTATGCGGCTGCAAGCTACTTGTTCTTAGCCCGACATGTGTTCCAAATCATCTGCCTCTGGAGACCGCTTCCTGTGGTGCAGCGTTTGTTGGCGCTGCCTCCAGCAGATCAACTCCTGTGCTCGTCTTCTCCTCACCCTCCCGCTCCACGAAGGTCTCCAGGAGCCTCCGAAGGTGCTCCAGAAGCCCACAGAGGCCCTCACGAGGTGTCCAGGAGCCCAAATGCCGAAACGTCCACCAGAATTCTGGATCCTCACCACTCCCGCGACCGAGGCCATAGCGTGTAACCTTTTTTGCCGCCTTTGTCGCCGCCGCCCCAGCCGCCTTTGCCGCCGCCGCCTTTGCCACCACCGCCCCAGCCGTCCCAGCCGAACCAATTCCAGGAGCCTTTGCCGCCTGGCGTGGCGGCAGCACTGGCAAAGAGCTTGCTGCGGAGGCTCACAAAACAGAGGATGGTGGACGGTCGTGCGCGCGTGAATGCACGCGTCACCGCGAGCGCGCGCTGGGGGGTTGCACGCGGGGCTCTGCGCGTGGAGTTTTGCGAGGCTGCGGGCGGGGGGAGCGCGAGGGGCTCTGCGCGCGGTGGAGCGAAGAGGCACGCACAGCACACGGGCGTGCATCTGCGCCGCGCCCGCACGCACGCACGCACACACGCGGGCCAGCGTGCGCAGAGGCGGAAAAATAAGGATTCTTGCGAGCGTACTCGATGGCACCTTGACGACTCGTGTATGATGGGCCAATTCTCCACCACCACTACTATAGGTAGGACGGGGGAGAAGGGAGGATTGGGAGGTCCTCCTGCTCCTCCTCCTCCTCTTCCTCCTCCTCCTCCTCCTCCTCCTCCGCCTCCTCCTACATACGGTAGTGGTGGTGGGAAATCGGCCCATCAATGTATGAAGTGGTGTCTTCATGCAGACATGCAACTCTTCATGGTGCACGCACGTGTGATACAAGACGCCAGTGTGCTGTCGACGTACGCTCTGCCACTGGCAGACACTCGACCTCTCCATGAAGAGTCGACCTGAGGCTGGCCCGAATATCGATGTGATCAACTGTGGCCGTCGGCTCTCGGACTCGAGATATAGTAAAGGGAGCCTCAAAAAAACTACAACGTGAGCCCGAATCAAAAACTATCAAGACGACGCAGCACCGAGCGCCCGCTGCAGAATGGGGACGCCTCGACTCTTCACGATGCGCAAGGGTATCACGTAGGCCTGCAACCATGAGTTGCTCTCAAACCTGGTCGACGCCGCCAATATCCAAGAACCATCTGAGATGAGCACCACACGTTCGAGGCCCCTGCGTCCTGACGCCTAACACTACACGACAGCCATAGATCCTTTAGACCCCCTGCGTCCAGACAGCCTTGCATGCGAGCAGAAATACACAAGCATCGACTGTCTAAGTGCCGCGCCGGGGGGGGGGGCAAGGCAAGGGCGCATCAGCGGGGACACTGGCGTCCTTTCCCAAATTGCAAAACGTGCGGAATGGGGTCTCCAGACATCCGTTAATACAATCGGCTTGCCCCATATCTGCAGCAAACAAGTACAAGCGCACTCGTTCCAACATTGAACTTCATCGGGAAACCCAGCGGGCACGCTTTGCACGAATAATTGCAAGCACGACAACGGAAACGAACACAACAGACGAAACACACTGGGACACTACAGCTAACAAGCCGCGAACAACGCAGAACACCGTGAGCGGCAGCCACAGCGAACAAGTCACTAGCAAGCACAGCAAAAGAGGATACGAACAACTACGTGATGTATTGTCTTACATGACGTTGTTCCAAAAATCCAGGACAACCTCAACTAAACACAGACAGCGTGATGGCACCTTCCTACAATGCCTCCATGCGAACTAGCTGATTCGAACACTGATGCCTCCTGCAGAAGCCCGACGTTTCCAGTCACAAACAGGTTCGATCAAATCAACGCTGCCATAAGTCCGAACGGTTTTAGCTAGAAACGTGATTACGCATGGTCGGCCGGGAGCTCACAACAGATCTCGGAACCGCTAGACCAAGAGTCCGATACGCCGCTAAAAACGTTGCATACGTCCCACACATAACTACTGTAACGTCTCCCCACTAAAACACATCCTATAGATGTACGAGTGTTTATATATAATATATGTACTATACACCAACGCCGCATAGAACGAGCCACTATCACCAATTCGATGCGCTAGTGTCCCGTTGTTTGATCCGCCAATCCAAGCATCAGGGATGCACTGCGGAACGACCACACACGGGATGTGACCAGCAGCGACTCAAAGCCATCCCAAAAATATGGATACGGATCGTTCACGGGATTGGCGAAGCCCGAGTTGCGCAAAGCCTGATTTGCAAAGTGCGCTTTCTGAGTTCCGAGCACGAGGGGGAACTGCCGCGTCTCGTTAAAACTACAAACGCCCATGAGAAGCTGCTCACAGGCCTGGCACTATGTTCACAAGCTGGACGCACAATTGTCCGCACAATTGTTCCTCGTGGGTGAAGATTTCGCCGTTCGATTGGGGCAACGACGCCGCGCCGACCGCGCCCGCTGCGCACCTTACGCGGCCATGCCACCACTTCGCCAGAATGAGACCCTGACCGCCCCCGAGGGTTTTGACGACTGCGCAGCGCAGGGCGACCGCGGGGGCGCGCCAGGCCGCCCCGAAATTGTAGAAACTTCAAGGAAGAACTCTCGAGCCTCGTATGGCAGCACGTCGGTGGCCAGAGTTCAGTGGATTCGGCGAGTCTCGTTCGCGGTCGTTTTTCCTCCTCGATTTTCTTCCTCCTCGATCCTGTGCCCCCGAAGAACCTGGTCCGCACAGGTGGCCGAAACTCGGCCATCCTGCCGTTGCGGGCGCGGCAACGCAATGCCACTACGTCGAGTGGTACGGGGTCAAGGCGCCCCTTAAGCCATATCATTTCAACTCCTCCTCCCCGGTAGCTGCAATGCCCAGGCGTCCGCCCTTCCGAATGTTGAGGCCCAGTAACACGACCGGCGTGCTGACCCTCCCCCCTTCGCGACAAGGGGTGCGTCGCGCGTTCGTCTCCCGTGCGCCGCCCGTGCGTCGGCCGCCGAAAAGGCCGGCCGTCCTCGCGAACGTGCGCGTCGCCCTCGCAAGGGGGCATCTTGGCGAGTGCGTCGCTCCGACGTACACCCAGACCTGTTCTCGACACGGGTGCCAGCTGCACGTCTCCGCGCCCTCGCGCCATCCCCCCCCTTGGAGAGGGGCAGCTCTCCGGCCCAGCCCGCGGCGCGCGAGGCGCGATCGCCTCCCTCTGCGCCCCTGTGGGCGGCCTGGGCTCCTCCAGATCCCCTGTCGTCATCCTTTTTTCCTCCCCACCCTCCTCCTCCTCCTCCTCCTCCTCCTCCTCGTCCTCCTCCTCCTCCTCCTCCTCCTCCTCCTCCTCCTCCTCCTCCTCCTCTTCCTCCCTCTCCTCCCCCTCCCCGTCCTGCTACTATTTGCCTTATCCTCCTCCACCTCCTCCTACTCCTGCGACTATTTCCCTCCTCCTCCTCCTCCTCCTCCACCTCCTCCTCCTCTTCCTCCTCCTCCCCCATCCTCCCTCCACCACTCCTCCTCCTCTCCTCCTCCTTCTCCTCCTCCTCCTCTCCTCCTCCTCTCTCCCTCCTCCTCCTCCTCCTCCTCCTCGCCCTCCTCCTCCTCCACCATCTTCCTCCACCACCACTGCCACATCCTCCTCCTCCTCCTCCTCCTCCTTCTCCTTCTCCTTCTCCTTCTCCTCCTCCTTCTCCTCCTCCTTCTCCTCCTCCTCCTCCTCCTCCATCCCCTTTTCTGACGAATAACTCCTCCACGTCGCATCCCGAGGCCGGTCGAAAGGGCCGGCCGGGCGTTTCGCCAGACACTTCCTCACCATTAACAACCCCGACGCTCAACGTACAAGAGCTTCACGGATAAAGAGCGGGTGGTTTTCAAAATGTGGCTCTCGCCTGAGCGCCGCGCACATTCGTGTGAAAAAAATGGAAGAGCTTCGCGGATGGAGGGCGGGTCAATTTTAGAATGTGGATCTCGCCTTGGCGCCGACCACTTTGGTCTTCGAAATGTGCACGAGTTTCACGCATGGAGGGCAGGCCGTTTAAAAAATGCGGCTCTCGCCTCAGCGCCGAAGTGAACCCCACTCTCCCCCTCAGAAATCGTGGGGGGTAGGGGCAGGGTTCGCATGTGGCCCCCTACATGTGGCTCTCGCCTCAGCGCCGCGCGCACTCGTCTTGAAGAGCTTGTAGCAGCCTCAAAGATATTCCCATCGGGAACGTCCCAGACATGGTGCTCTGGCTGGGTACCGAAATGTCAGGGCGCAACAACCACGCTGCTTCGCGCTGTCGAAGTCCTAGGGGAATCGTGCTCTGGCACGACTCGGGATCGTCAAGACGCAACAGCAACCGAGATTCGCAGCGTTGACATCCCAGGGACGGCGTTCTGGTACACTTCTGGATGTTCCGGCGGTGGTCCTCGGTCGGGGCACTTCCCTCAACGAAAATGAACCCTCGCAGGGGCCTAGGAAGAGGGAACTCTGAGGGATTCGTCGTTTTGCAATCTCGTTGACGAGGTCTGGGGTGAACAAAGGTCCTACTCCTCCTCGTCTTCCTCGTCCTCCACCTCCTCCTCCTCCTCCTCCTCCTCCTCCTCCTCCTCCTCCTCCTCCTCCTCCCTCCTCCTCCCCATCCTGCGGCCGCTGCCTGAGCCCCAGTCGCCCCCCCACCAGTCGTCGGACTTCTTGGCCCACGACGGCTGGTCGCCTCGGTGGCGCCGCCGCACCCCGGGCGGGGACGCGGGCACGTGGGCAGAGCGGCGGCGAAGGGGGCTCGGGGCGCAAAAGCTGCAACACGCCGTACAAACATCACAACCGAAGCCCTGGACCCTATCCAGAGGCCTCTTAGATTAAGGGGCAAACAAACCTACCTCGCTTCTGACCACCCTCGCTTCCAAGAGGTACCAAGCGATGCCAAACTGCGGCCTGTACTGGTCAGGCCGCTTGACGAGGAGGCGCGTGGTATGACTTGGTTTGGCCTGGAAGCGAAAGCGGGGTAGGTAATTCACGCTCTGATAGATAGGGTCCGACTAGGTGGGGTCGGAGGATCCCACCGCGTCGCCGATACGTCGGCGATGCACCGGCGATGCACCGGCGATGATGCATCTTCGACGTCGGCGATGCATCGGCGACGTCGACGTGGAGAACCTCGGGCTCCGCATCGGGCTCCGCATCGCCGATGCATCGCCGATGCACCGGCGATGCGGCGCGATCCTCCGACCCCACCTACTCGGATTCCATCCGGGAGGCCCAGACCCTGCGAAATGCTTATGAAATCATGGGTTAAGAAATTCATAGTCTCAGAAATTGAATAAAACCCAGAACTTCTGACAAGATCTTGGGGTTTACATTGAATAACTAAGAATAATCGAGACTCTGGCCGAAAACTTAAGTTTTCTGAAGCATCGCCTAAGGTGCAGACCATCTGCCTGCGCCATTGTTCGAGTCGGCTCGATCTGCGAGGGCGTCCCGCGGCCCGGCGCCCGGCGCACACGCCCGGCGCGGCAGGTGGCGGCGCCAGGGGCTCAGGGCGTCGCTGCTGCGGCGGGAGCTCGCCTCACCGATCGGGTCGGGCGAAAGGGGGGCATCGCAAAGGGGGGGTTTGAGAATCAGCTCACGTAGCTGATTTTCCCGGCGCCTCCCGGCGCCGGGGGCGGCCATGCATCGAGGAAGGGGACCCTCGGCCCTCGGTGGGGCCCAAACCAGCTGCATGCAGCAAATTTCGTAGCCCACCCATTTCCCAATCCCCCCCTTTCGTTCGGCCCGAACCGAACGGGCAGGCGAGGGCGAAGCGGCGGACGAGCAGGGCGCTGCGCGCGCGAGCGCCGCCCCGCCGGGCGGGCCTCCAGGATCGGGCGGGCGGCGGGGCTCGGGGCTGCGGCCACCAAGAGGCGCCCGGACGAGCAGCCTGCAAAGGGCGAGGCCGTGACCGGAAGGCGTGGGGGACGGGAGGACGGACCTGGCCCGACGTGTCAACGGCCCCCCTGGCCATCGACCTCACGTCCATTCCCGGTGTCTCTTCCCAACCAACCTGTGTTGTTGGGTCCTCATTTTGAAGAGACGGTCCCCGCGTCCCGTCCTTCCTTCCTTTTTTTCTCCTCCTCCCTCCTCCTCCCTCCTCCCTCCTCCTTGCGCTTCACCCTCTCAGTGCAGGGCTTCGTGGCCCCATATGGAGCTCCACCGAAGGCTCCAGTGGGATCGCCCGCACGCGTCATCCACCACCCAGCAAAGCATTTCGTGGCCCCATAGGGAGCTCCACCGAAAGCTCCAATGGGACCGCCCGCATGCGTCCTCCACCACCCAATACAGCGATTCGTGGTCCCAGAAGGGGCTCCACCGAAGGCCCCAGTGGGACCGCCCGCATGCGTCATCCGCCACCAAGCACAGCGCTTCGTGGCCCCATAAGGAACTCAACCGCAGGCCCCAGTGGGACCGCCAGCACCACCCAACCAAGCATTTCGTGGCTCCATAGGGAGCTCCACCGAAAGCGCCATTGGGACCGCCCGCATGCGTCATCCACCACCCAGTACAGCGCTTCGTGGCCCCATAGAGGGTTCCACCGAAGGCTGCAGTGGGACCGCCCGCATGCGTCATCCACCACCCAGTACAGCGCTTCGTGACCCCATAGGGAGCTCCACCGAAAGCTCCAGTGGGACCGCCCGCATGCGTCATCCACCACCCAGCACAGCGCTCCGTGGCCCCATAATAAAAGGGCTCCACCGAAAGCCCCAGTGGGACCGCCAGCGTGCGTCATCCACCACCAAGCACAACGCTTCGTGGCCCCATGAGGAGCTCCACCGAAGGCCCCAGTGGGACCGCCGGCACCACCCCACCCAGGCATTTCGTGGCTCCATAGGGAGCTCCACCGAAAGCGCCAGTGGGACCGCCCGCATGCGTCATCCACCACCCAGTCCACCAGTGGGACCGCCCGCATGCGTCATCCACCACCCAACACAGCATTTGGTGGCCCCATAGGGAGTTCCACCAAAGGCTCCAGTGGGAACGCCCGCACGCGTCACCCACCACCCAGTACAGCGCTTCCTGGCCCCATAGAGGGCTCCACCGAAGGCTCCAGTGGGACCACCCGCGTGCATCATCCACCACCCAGTACACCGCTTCGTGTCCCCGCAGGGAGCTCAACCTAAGGTCTCCGTGGCGGAACTCGCATGGCGGCCCAATGGCGGAGTTCGCACGGCGGCGACTTTCGATTGCCGGCGGTTTTTCGTCGTAATCGACGTATTGAAGCCGCTTTGGGGCTGCGCATCCCGGGCGGGAGCCAGCCTGTTCGCTCTCGCTCTCTCTCTCTCTCTCTCTCTGTCTCTCTGCTCCGCGCAGCGGACGACCCGCGCGCGTCGCCGGGACCCCTTCGGGGCGACCAACGCGCATCGCGGGGGCTCCGTGCGGCGCCGCGCCCGCAGCTTTGGACGTGGGCGTGCGCGGGCAAAGAGGGAGAAAAATAACGAAAAGGCAGCGGGCGCGATCCTCGTGAGAGGCGCGCCGACATGGGCGTCGACATTTATGCACGTAGACTCACGCGCGCGCAGACTCATCCACAATCAGACTCACGCGCTCTCAGTCTCTCGCACACGGACCTATCGTCTTCGCTCGCGTTGTGTGCCCCGCCACGCATGTCGGCACGCCCCTCATACGGTTCGTGGCAGCATAGGGAGCGAGGGCGAAGATGACATTCAGAATTGCGGTATTCAAAGCTGCATATGGTAGGGTCCGTCGCCAGGCGAATTTCGGTTTCGTGCGTGTTCTTTTGTTTCGCTGGATGATCCAGGATGCTCCTTCATAATCCCCGCCGAGAAAGAGTGCACACGTCCGAGCGATACCAAGCCCCCTCAGGCCCAGCTGGCTCAACGAAGAATTCGCCAGGGAGTGGAAGGCCAGCGACAATGGTCTGGTCAGTGGCGGAGCGGGCAGCTGACCGAGAGCTCGGTCGGGGCTGGCCGAACCAGCTCCCCTGCACTCACGGGCTTGGTCTTAGTGGGCCCTGGAAACGACAAGGCCCTTTTGTTACCGGTTCCGGTTTGCCGTTTTTTTGTTAGCTCCGACGCCGTTTTTTCACCAGTTCCGTCGCCGTTTTTTGACCGGTTCCAGCTCCGGTTCCAGTCCTGGAGACGTTTTTTTGCCGTTTCCGGTCGCCGTGCTTTTGCCGTTTCCATTTTCAAAGGGACATTTTTCTGGAAACGGTGAAAAAAACAGCCCTGCCGTTTCCGGGGCCCACAAAGGGCTTGGTCTCCCGTCGGGATGCCCCTGCGGCAGCAGACGTCACCAGAGCGGCCGACCGGAAAGAGTAGCCTCCACCACTCCCCCTCCTGAAGCTGACCGAAGCCTCTCCTCCATCGCAGGTCGATGAAGTCGCCTGCGCGAACTCGTCGAGCAGATCGCTCCCCACCCGTGGAGAGGAATCGCACTCACGGGCGAATCATCGTGTCTGAAGATGCAGCTCCTGGGATGTCTTTGCAAGCACGATCAGGGGCGATTCAGAGACTTGAGGCCAGAGCAGGCCGGATTAAGGAATTAAGCCAGACTGAGCGATATCAAGCGGGATTGTGCGAGATGGTTGTCAGATCCGGCTGGTTCCCGACCAGGATACAGCGGCGCCGATGCTGCACATAACCGCCGAGGAGTTGCATCCGAACATGCCGCACGCGGATGTCGGCACGCGTCATCACACTGGCCGAATCGCGATCGTCCCCTCCGCCCGTTGGCTCGCGCACTGCTCGCGAATGGGCGCAGCCCCGGGAAAGCAAAAGCAGCCGCGACGGGCGTCCGACGCGCTGGAGGCAATGGCACAAGCGCAGACGTAAAAGGCGGATCCCGAAATCGCCATCCGCCACTGGCCTCTGCTTCGATTGGGGCAAGCTGGCACTTAAGCAGATCGGGCTCGGAACTAGGCGGGAGGGACCAAGGGCCGCCCAAGACAAAGTCAGCTGGAACGGAGCGAACTCGGAGCGAACAGCAAAACGAGCACAAAGAGAAAGAATGAGGAAGTAGGCATCGTCCCCCTTCCCGTCCGTTGATCTGTGCATATATTTGCACAAATCGTTATCTCTCTCCCTCTCCCTCCCTTTCTCCCTCTCTTTGTCCTGAGTCCGTCGCCGCTCCCTTCCTCTCCTTGGGCCCTCGTCCTCAAGCACGCCAGCCAAAGCGAAATACACCAGCCCATCCACAGCGAAGTTCAGCAACGTTGTCATTGAGTCGAAGGGAAGCCCCTTCCCTTTGATCCCTTCCCCGCGGAGGGGATGGGGGGGTCCCGGGGGGGTGTCCAGGGGGGGGGTCCCGGGGGGGTCCTGGGGGGGGGGCCGGGGTCAGAACACCATCCTCCCAGAGCGTGTCGGGAGCGCCCTCTCCCTCCCATTTCCGTCGAGGGCCGAGGCCTCCAGGGTCGGCGGCACCGGCCGTAAGGCCTTCGCAATCGTGGTCTCTCTCCCTCTCCCTCCCTCTCTCGCTCTCTTTGTCTCTTTGTCTCTCCATCTCTCATCCTTTCTCTCTCTCTCTCTCTCTCTCTTTCTTTCTCTCTCCCCCTTTTTCTGTCATATCTGCGTTTGTGTATATACCGTTCTCTCTTTTCTCTCTCTCTCTCTCTCTCACTGTCTCTCTCAATCTCTCTGTCTGTCTGTCTCTCTCTCTCTCTCTCTCTCTCTATTTCTCTTTATCTCTCTCTCTCTCTCTTTCTATACATATGTATATATATATACACGAACATGTGTATATGTGTGTGTCTCTCTCTCTCTCTCTCTCTTTTCTCGCTCTCTCTCTCTCTCTCTTTCTCTCTCTCGCTCTCTCTCTCTCTCTCTTTCTCTCTCTCTCTCTCTCTCTTTCTCCCTCTCTCTCGGCCAGGGGCGCGGCCCTTGTCGCCCTTGCCGCCCTGGTCGCCCTTGCCGCCCTTGTCGCCCTTGCCGCCCTTCCAGCCCTTGCCGCCCTTGGAGTCGCCGCCCCCTGAGCGGAGCACCCCGCCGACGCGAGGAGGGGGTGGGTTAAGGGAGGGACCCCTCCTCCTCTCCTATTCCTTCTCCTCCTTCTCCTCCTCCTCCTCCTTGTCCTCCTCCTTTTCCTCCTCCTCCACCTCCTCCTCCTCCTCTTCCTCCTGCTCCTCCTCCTCCTACTCTATTGTCGCACCCCGAGGCCGGTTGAAAGGGCGGGCCGGGCTTTTCGCCCCTGAGACTTCCTCACCACTTATGACCCTGATGCGGTAAAACGGACAACAGCTTCACGAATAGAGGGCGGGTGGTTTTCAAAATGTGGCCCTCGTTTAAGCACCGCGCACATTCGTTTTGAAGTTTGCAAGAGATTCTGCGCCTTTTGAGGGCGGGTCGTTTTCAACATGTGGCTCTCGCCTTAGCGCCACGCACACTCGTCGAACAAGTGAAAGTGTTCCACGTATTAAGGGCGAGTCGTTTCCAACATGTGGCCCTCGCCATGGCGCCGCGCACATTCGTTTAACAACTAAAAGAGTTTTGCGTATTCAGGGCTAGTCGTTTTCAACATGTGGCTCTCGCCTTAGCGCCGCGCACATTCGTTCTTATAGATTACAAAGAGCTTCACGGATTGAGGGCGGTTTCTTGTCGAAATGTGGCTCTCGCCATGGCGCCGCGCACATTCGTTCTAAGAGTTTGCAAGAGCTTCACGGATTGAGTGCGTTCCTTTTCAAAGTGGCTCTCGCCTTGGCGCCGCGCACATTCGTTTCAGACTGTCGCAAGAGTTCGACGTTCTCATGGTTAACGTATCAGAAATGGCGTGTTGGAGGGATTCTCGATTGTCAGGGCGCAACAATTACGTTGATTCGCTGTGTTGAAGTCCCAGGAATGGTGACCTGGCACGGTTCAGAACCGTCAAGAGGTAACAGTCAGGTTGACTCGCGGCGTTGAAGTCCTGAGAATGATGTTCTGGCGCGCTTCAAGGTGGTCACACGGTTGTCCCTCAACGGGGCAATTCCCTCAGTGGCGATGACCGCTCGTGGGGGCCTCCCCCTCCTCCGCCTGCCCCCCCACCCCAACGCCCCCTGCCTTTTGCCCAACCTTGATGAGGGGGAAGGGACGGGGAGGAGGAGGAGGAGGAGGAGGTGGAGGAAGAGCAGCAAGGAGGCGGCCGATTTGCAGAAAAGCGAAGGATGGCAACAACAGAAGTCGCAAAGCACCCCTGCGGATCGGTCCAATGAGAAAAACATGGCCCTTGTTACTTGACCACTCGCGGCCTCCGTCCCAGGGTGGTGTGACCCCTCTGGTGGTGCTGCGTAGACGAAATGCCCCTGGAGGGGGAATGAGAAAGAGGAGAAGCAGCATCAGGGGAGGGAGGGCGGGGAGAAGGTCGAGGGCATCTTCGGAGGGTTATGACGGCTTCCAACGGCTTGCGGGCCCTTGCAGATGTTCTGCATGACTCACACATTCTCTTATTCCCCTGAACAGGTTTTGCACTTGGGTGTTCTTCCTTACGTCACTAAAAAAATTGAATGGGCGTGAGGCCGAGGATGTTCCGCAACATTGCCGCCTCGTGCGCTGGCTGGGTCCAACGAGGTTTCGCCACGTTTTTGCCCGTGGCCGCCTCGTGGCCGCCTCGTGCGCTGGGAGGGTCTGGCGAGGTTTCGCCACGTCGCCGCCCGGCGGCCACCTCGTGGCCGCCTCGTGCGCTGGGTGGGTCTGAAAGGGTTTCGCCACGTTGCCGCCTCGTTGCCACTCTGTTGCCTCCTCGTGCGCTGGGTGCGTCTGGCGAGATTGCGCCACGTTGCCGCTGGCGGCCGCCTCGTTGCCGCCTCTAGCTTGCGCCACCCTCACGTACACTGCACCACAAAGCTTCCACCACGTAGCTTGCACCACATCACATACACATCCACAGTGTAATCACTTACTGCTCAGGGTCCACGCCAACAAACTTGATGTATGAAAATTATATTCGATTATGGGCGGCTTTCGAAAGTTTGCAAAAGAGTCGGAGCCGGAGTCGGAAGCCTCGGCAGCTGGTTCGATATACAAGACATGTTCTGCTGGCAGGTGCAATGTCAAGCACGAGGGGAAAGCCTGCGGGACCCTATGGCCTATCGGGCCCGCTTCGGCCCAGGGCCGAACCCCCCGTGCTTCCAAGACGCAAGAAAACAAACCAGGGCAACGGCTTGCGGCACTGTGGCCGATCGCAACTGCTCTCGGGTAGGGTACGATTTAGAATCACAGCTGGGTCCATTGTCCCGTGCAGTGACTACTGCAAACATAAAACGCACACTCCCTCCACCAGCTCCCCCACTCCCCCATACACCCACTCCCACATACATAGAACTCAGGGACAAACATGTGGCGAACAGCCAAAGCGTTTATACGTCCCTCATACCCTACGACCTAACCGTCTCGAGAGCTCGGATGCTCTTACGCCGCCTTTGCAAAAGAGGAGGACGAGGAGGAGGAGGAGGAGAAGGAGGAGGAGGAGGAGGAGGAGGAGGAGCAGGAGAACGATGACGAGAAGGATAATGAAGAAACTTTGACGTTATTGGGATGTTGTAGGGGGCCGCGTCGGTTGGTCCTCGTCGCAACAGCTCGATCTGCCTTGAAGTCATGGTCAGAGCGCGCTGCAGAAAAGGCCCTAGGGTCGACTTCACTCCTGTAGAAGCTGGGTAACAACGATTCGGGGATCGATCACCTTCACTCCAGTCGAGCCGGGCGAAAGGGGGGGATAGCAAAGGGGGTTTGAGAATCAGCTCACGCAGCTGATTTTCCCGGCGCCGCCCGGCGCCGGGAGGCGCCCATGTATCGAGGAATGGGCCCCTCGGTGGAGCCGAAACCAGCTGCATGCAGCAAATTTCGTACCCCCCCCTTTCCCAATCCCCCCCTTTCGTCCAGCCCGAGCCCAGAGGGCCTCGGACGGCTCCAGCGAGCTCCTGGGGACCTCCGAGCGACTCGCGCAGGGACCTGGGGGACGTCGGGGGCATCGGGGAGCCTCGGCAGGCTCCTCTGGCCCAGGGGCCCCATGGCCCACGACTCGTCGCCAGAACGAGCATGGCTTACGAAACGCGTTCTTCAGCTCACGTCGCCCGGACTGCGGCCCCTGGGGTAGGAACGGGAGCAAACATCAGAAAGAGAGCCGCCGAAACTGGCTCAACGACGGGAGTCGAACCCCCCTCCCCAATTTGAGCAGCAGATCCCGTCGGTGGTGCTCTATCCTTGTGTGCCCCTGCGTGTCTAGGTAGGTTAGTGTGTGGCGCGTGCGTGTACTCTTTACCTGGCCGCTCGCTTGCACTGGCGCGCTGACGGTTGCTTCCTCGCTTGCGTGCGTGCCCTCGTTCTGGCACTGCCCCGCCATCCTGCGGTGCTGGGGCCTCGTCTTGGACAGACAGCGCCCCGCGACACCCCACCTCCCGGCCTCCTCCCCCTCCTCGCTCCTCCTCCTCCCTGCCTCTGCTCTCCGCGTGTACGTGTCGGCACGCCACTCACGCGTTCGACGCCCCATGAAGGAGCTCCACCGAAGGTCCACATGGCAGCGCCCGCATGGCGGCGCTGCCCAATCTTGGCACACACACACACACACACACACACGCATCACACGCTTCGCGGCACCATCGGAAGCTCAACCGAAGGCCCAAGCGGCAGCGCACGCACGGCGGCGCCGACCCATTTTGGCACACACACACGCACACACACACACACACCTCACACGTTTCATAGCCCCGTAGGGAGTTCCACCGACCGCCCAAGCGGCAGCGCCCGCATTGCGGCGCCGCCTTGGTTTCAGCACATCCATCACACGGTTCGTGGTCCCGTAGGAAGCTTCACCGAAGGCCCACGCGGCAGCGCTCGCATGACGGTGCCGATCCATGTTGGCACACCCCTCACACGTATCGTAGCCCCGAACTAAGGGAGCCCCACCGAAGGCCCAAGCGGCATCGCCCGCATGGCAGCGCCGCTTCAACTTCGGCACACCCCTTACACGTTTCGTCTCCCTGACCGCATGGCGGCGCCGCCCAATTTTTGCACACCCCTCGCACTTCGTAACTCCATAAGGAACTCCCCCGACCGCCCACGCGGCAGCGCACGCATGGCGGCGCCGCCCCATCATGGCACACCCATGACGCGTTTCGTAACCCCGCAGGGAACTCCACCGATGAACCAAGTGGCAGCGCCCGCATGGCGGTGCCATCACACGCTTCGTGGCCACGTAGGGAAGCCCCCTTTTCCCAACTGCCCTGCGGCATTCACCTGCATATGGTTGGGTCTCTCGGCAGGATCAACTACGACTGTTGGCTTGCTTGCTTGCTCGTTCGCTGGTTGTGTTGATGGTTGCCTTGCCACCTTATTCGCGTGCGTTTGCGATGGATCGCATGCTGTTTGCTTGATTGATCACTTACTTGCTTGCGACTGTTCGCCCGATCACAGGCGTGCTTCCGATTGCTCGAGGACGCGCGTCTGCTTGCGAACGTCTGATTGATTGCTCGCTTGCCCGTTTGCATTCGATTCCACTTGGCTGCCTCATCTTCACTTGCTTGCCTGCCTGCTTGCGGTTGCTTCCTCGTCGCTGCGCGTGTTTGCAACCGGGGCGCCGTAAAAATAAGAAGTTGAATCGATGCTGATGGATTCCTTTGGCCTACCCGTGTACTGCTTGCGCCGTCCCGTGGCTACAGTCGCCGCAAGTCTAAAGCATGGAAAGAAAAGGATGCAATACCCTCGGCCGTCCATATTGCAACCTTTTCACGTGGATACCCTCAGCGGCTTGCCCACCAAAATCAAATCAGCACGGGCCAAAAAAGTCAAGAATAGGAGGGCACCCTTGGATTATCACCTCCGCGACTGTATCTGACCACCGTGCCCATCAATTCCACATTGCATATCAGGTTCCTGGGGATTCCCCCCTTGGGGAAGCCCCCCTTTTTGTTCCTGCGCATCCGAAAACTAGCACGCTGACCGTCACACCCGACCCCGAGCACCCGAACCTTGACATGACATCCCCCACCACCATAACAC